TATAATGGATCCAATCATTTGGAGGGATTGCAAGGGCTCAGATTAAAGCAAGATGTCACCTATCATATTAGATATAAAGCCAAAATTTAATGAGACAAGTAAAGGTCAGAGCAGCACACTGCAGTTTCAATTTGGTACCCCCCACTCTCCTCCTGCTCTTAAGCACGCATCATAACTTCAGCTTTAAGCATAAAGCAAAACTAAAGGTTAGCATAAAAGGATAATTCCAATGTCAGGATCACTAAAGCAAACAGGAAAGTTAAACTTAAGTTTCTGTTCCAGAAACTAAATGATTGCAGTTCAGTTCATCATCTCTAGTCCTCATTTACCAAAGTACTACCAAGCAATTTTCAGTGAATGATGCCCGATTAATTAAAGCTTGATCCAGCAAAGTTATTAACACTCCCTACTGTACCCATCAGCAAAGTTATTAACACTCCCTACTGTACCCATGTTTTGAGTTAAGAAACTAAAAACAAAACAAAAAAACTCCACCACAATTGTGTCTAATAGTAACACAGCACCTCCAGAAGTGCTTTACCTGTATTTTACTGATCATCTGGATTCCAACTGTTCTCTGTACTGTACCGCACTCAGGAAAACGCTTTATCGTTACTCCTCTTCCCCTCACCCCATTCTTTATGGTTTGTCTCTATTTTTCTACTCAGTACCAAACAAAATCATATTTATTTCAAGAAGACTTTTCCTTAAGGCCTTAGAAGTACTCACTCGGTTCTAGTTAGCCTTCTTTTCTCTTCCAGGTGAAAAATTTTACACCCAAGATGACAAGGCACAAGGAAAAGCAGACTGGCGAGGAAGAAACCAGGATGGGACAGCAAGGGACACAGAATCAGAGCCACACTGGGATTTTTAGACTGTTTTTCTCTTTCCAGCTTACTAAGTTCCTGTCCCCTCAAACAGTTTTGTCTTCTCCCTCATACACTTTTCTGTCTCCACTTTCTTCACTTTTCTGTCACTATTCTTCTCCTAATATGAATTAATATCGCCAAGATATAATTTGCTGCTAATTTAAACTCATTAAGGAATGACTAAACTGTAATCTCATTTATTTTATCTTCTCCATTTTTAATGCCTGTTACTGTCATTTCTGGAACACATCAATCACTCCCCTCCCAGCCCCCCTTCATAACATGAGTTAGGTCAAGCCAAAACAATTTTGACTTCCTCACTCTTCTGAAGATCTGTGTATGTTCAACCAACTTTAATATCCCAAAGACCTTGAACATAAACATCGTATCTCACTGGCTTCAGTATGCTCTTCGTTGCTTTTATACTGTTCTTGGTACTCCCTTTCATCATTTCCAGGTATTTAAAACAAAAATACTAATATACTTATAAAAATACTTATATAATACACTTTTGAAATTTCCAGGTTTCTGCCCCTTGATTATTTATCTTCCATCCTCTCAATTTTTAATCCAACAATTTTCTGCATTTCTTTTGCAACAGGATAATTTTTCACTTGCTCCCTCCTTTCCCTGTTCAGAGCTTTCCCTCTAATGTATGTTTTGACTCTTCTTCCACCTTTCCTTTTGCAAAAATCTGTCTTCTCCATCGCCCAGCAGCAGCATTTCTTCAAAAAAAATCCTTTCTCTAGTCCCTGATACGTGCAGACCTTTTTCCTTGGGCCATCAACATTCGGCTTTTTGACTCTCACAATGCTCTCCAAGCATCGCTCGCTCCTGCAGCGTGCCACGCACACTGCTGCAAGACAACGCTGAAAATACACCAAGGCACCCTTTGGTACCCTACCTGCCGAATTCTTCCTTCAGGCTGTACTTCAGATTTTTCTTTTCTGTTAACATGCTAGGAAAAAAAAAAAAATCTAATTCTACTCTTCACAGCTTGACTGCAATTCTGGTTAATTCTTCGCAAACTTCTAAAATCTTCATGTCCATTATAGCTGATGCTGCTTTAAATTTTAGTTCCAAACCCCACAATTTAAGCTTCATTTTCTTCCCAGTTTTCTTCCTAATTCAGAGCTTCTTCCTATTGCCTCTTTCTGTGATTACCATCTCAAATTTCTCACACATGATAAATACACTATTTCTAACACTTTTTCTTTTTTTATTCCCCTTCTCTTTTTTTTCTTTTGTTTTTAAAGAAGTTGGCTTATCCTTTTCAGGAACAGAGATAGTCTTTCTTGAGTAGATCTCACTGTCTTTACAGATACAAAAGAAGTATTCAAAATAGATGAGCATGAAGAAGTGATCACCATACACCACGTAAGCAAGCATATGACAGTTTCACTCTTCCTTTTTAAACATATTCTATACTGTAAGTTTCCCCACTCATTTTGCCTTTGGGTATTTCTGTTTCAACACAGTATTGCTTTTCTGACCCTCAAAGAAGCAGACTATTTGAAACAATTCAATGACCCTATCTATGACTCGCTTCTTAAATTCTTCCTTTTCTTTATTCCAATCATTTTATTAATTACTCCCCAATTTTCCTACTACACTCCTTAATAATACACTCTTCCCGCTCAGAAATGAACTTTTACAGAAAGCAACTGCCAGACTTCCGAGGCCATCGGTTCATTTCCAGCCATTCTACTCAGGCAGCTGCATGCCGCTGCAGTCAGGCTTCCACAGATGCTTGTCTTTAACATGCCATTAGTTCTCAACAACTTTTAAACAGTTGAAAGAAACATTTTTAGTTTATCTCTCAGTTCTTTGCGTACTCTTTCAAGCTTTTCCCCTAATTAACACAAGTTGAGAAATGAATAAGCCCTGTATTCTTAGGATTTCTTCCCCACACGTCTTCTTGCAGAGGATCCACATTCACTTAGAGCGTGGCCACCTCAGAGCTCTGAACTTATTTATTGGTCCTTCACTTCTCAACCACCAGCCAGCCTTCCTACATCAGCCGCTGCTTTCTTCTGTTCCTTTCAACACATAAACACTTGTCATTCAGACCTAAGATCACTTACACACTTCTTGTCTCCATTATGCCAATGGATATTGCTGCAAAAATTCTTCCAGAATTTCTAGTTTTTTGTTTACATTTAAATTATTTTTTTCTATCCTCGCTTTTTTCTTCTGCTAAAGTTTACAGAATAACAGCTTCTTTCAAGATTTCCAGAATTCTCTTCTCTCTCCCTCTCACCCTCCCATCCCTCTTTCTCAAGCCTGTAAGTGATGTTATGTTATTCATGCACAACTGTTTGAAGTTTCACTCTGATTTGAAACAAAAACTAGGAGATGACAACCCTTCTGGAGACAAATACAATTCCAGATGGCAACTGGAGCCAAATAAGGCTCCCAACTCAGAGCCAAGGTAAAGGGAAAAGTTCACCGACAAAACCTGATCAGTGTAAGAAAGGAGCATTGACATAGAAACCCCTACATTTCATTGATTTAGATTTCACCTTTTTCATTGACTCTATAGAGGTTCTGTGTACTTTATAGTGCAATTATTGAACAACACCTGGACTGACAGGTTAACAGGCAGTTAAGTACGAGACAGTTATTAATAAATTAGCTGATGTCAAAGAGGTCACTTCAAGGAGAGATGGAAATAAAATCCTGGATTCTTTGAACACTTCAAGTTTAGAAACTCTTGAGTCTACCATACGCATTTGTTTCTAAACCTGCTCAATCTAGATGGAGGAATGGAAGCAGAATTTCGTGCTGCTGAACTAATAAACAGTTCAGTTGCACAGCTCCCTCCAAGAAGTTGACCTCTAACCAGCCGTCATGGAAGAGACACCACCTCTACACCATCCCCAGAGCTCAAGCAACAGCCATACTGACACAGGATTCATTCTTGAGCTCTCCTGATGAAGAGGGTTTTTTTTAAAGTACCAGAAGAAAAAACAATGGCATGACCACATAATCATAAAAAAAGAGCTCTGAAAGCTATCTATTTTCAAAAAAACATAACCATTTCATAATTACGCTATATACAATAAAGCGGATACAACTTACATTTCTCTCTGTTCTGAAATACTTTTATTACACATATTTTCAAGACATTTGGGGTTTCAGAAAATGAAAACCTTAGTAAAGAAGCAGCAATTATTTGTACAATGATACAGCTATTATTACTATAATGAATTTTTCCTTTTTATTGGCTTGGGCAACCTTTGATAAATTATAACTTAATTTCCTCCAAATGTGCATTTAATGTTATCTGGCAGTAAGTTTTAATTATATAGGAAGTCTGGAAGTTAATAAGCCAGGATCATTAACAAAAAGATTATAAATACAGTTTATGTACTTTTATTTATAGGATTTGTACATCTTTCACAAGCTAAAAATAGACACACAGGTATATGCTTAGGACTATTGGGACAAAAGGCCTACTTTAGTTAGAGAAAAGCTAATAGACCTGAAAACCAACTCCTCATCACTGTTATTGATCATACCCACAGCCAGAAAAATGATTCTTGTATAAAAAAAAAAAATTAACATTTCAATCTTTTACAGACAAACTTGCAAGTTCTTCCAGGATAAATGTGGTGAGAATCACAGCACAATGCAGGCCAGAAGGGACCTCTGCAGGTCTGCAGTCCAACCACCACCCAACGCAGGGCCAGCCTCAGATTCAGGTCTGGTTGTCCAAGGACTCGCCCTGATAAGTTATGAAAGTCTCCAAGCACAGAGATTCAACAACTTCTCTGTTTACTCATTGTCCCTTTTTTCCATCTCACTGGAAGATTCCTAACTGACCTTGGCCTTGGCTCTTATCCTTCCACCGTACACCTTTGACAAGAGCCTGGCTCAGTCTTGCTTAAAACCCCCTCTTCCACTCCTACGTACATTGTATTTGTAACTATAACCTCAACAGAAAGGGTGTGAAAAGAATAAAGAGCAAAACTACAAGTAAATCATGTAAAAAAATACAAGCATAGTCCGAGCAACAGAATCACACGCACCCACCCAGCAGCGCTCGTGACACACACACACAATACAGGGCATCAAGGTGATTAAACTCAACCCTTCAAATTATCGATAATTCTTTAAGTAAGAACAAACCTGGGCCACTTTAACGGAATTTTGAGTAGAACCACCAGCATGATACTCTACTTTGAACTTCTTCACAAGTTCTTCAAATCTGTTAAGAGAAAAAAAAAAAACAAAACAACAGAAGGTAGAGAAGAAAAAAGTTAAACACTACAAATATTTTTTTTTCAAAGATGAGATAAAGATTAGCAATAGATGACATCATGTTATTTGAAAACACGAAATTCAGGTACATTAGTTGTTACACATGGTGTAAGTGGGGAACACCTATTTAGATTTTGTCCAAATTACAAAGCAAAGTGTGATGCCTACTTGATTCCTTCACCTTAAAGTTGCAAGTGGAGTAAATAACTGAAAAAACATTTTCTCTGAAGCATAAGCTTGGATTGCAACAAACTGTTAGATTGATATTATACGCTTCAAGAAAAGTTATATAAATGAAGACATTCTGATACATATTCCTCCTCTTTAAAGCTAGAAACAGAATGTAAAACTAAGTGAGAAGATTGAGATCTGGTGTCTAATTAAAAATTAACTTGACCCAAACAACGGTGCTAAGTTTTCACATGAAATATTACATTTTGACAGGTGAAGCACTTTGATGATCAAATCTAATATTACATGAGCAAACCTGGTAACAGAGAAGCCAAGTGTCTCCAGATGAGCTTTCATATCCTTCAAGTCATGCTACTGTGAGAACACAGCATTCTCTGGTAACATTCAGTAGTACATTATGAGGTTTGAACGTTAAAACAAATAATTGAAACTTTTAACGGCAATATCTACCCTCCTATTTCAGATCAAACTTTCGGGTTAAGACCCAGACAGAGTTCTGTCAGACACTCCTCCTCTAGGATGCATTTTGCAGCTCTGATGACAGCGCACCACAGCTGCAGACCCGGCCTTCTCCCTAGTCCCAGGCGGTAGAACGGGAAGCATCCCAAAAAGGAAACTACAACTGTCCACAAACACGGCATCGTGCCTCTAAACTCCAAGCACACTTCAGAACGAGTGGATTACATGGCAGGAATAACCACCGCAGCAGACGTTGGACTCAAAGGAAGCACTCCTGCAGGCAAGTTAAAATGTTCACTGTAAAATTTGTTTGCACGTTGGAGGTTCAAAATGACCTTGAGGTCAACCCTAATTAATAGCACAGATTTGCCCTTAAAATCTATTAACTTTAGATGTTTACTTTTAACAAATGAAGGTTGCCCAGTTGGATGTACTTCAACATACTTTATGGTATTCACCTTTAGCATCTTTTAAAAGAGTGACACATCATTATTTCAGACACAGTGAAAAATGAACACTATGTCACAACGCTACCCCTCTTCTCTCCCCCATCCTCACTCTCCTTAGAGCATGTGAACAGGGACTTCGGGATAGATTTGTCAAATACTGACTTGTTTGTTTAACAGGTTTTGATTTTCAATACTATGTTACTAATAAGAGCATTTTTATTTCTACACTACTTGCCATTTGAAATGTTGGAATAATGAGCTACTCACCCCAGCAAACTACCAACGGGCAGACAATTAGAACGAATCAAGAACTAAATTACTACATATGCTTTTCACAGTTATCCACACTACTAATTATCCAGCAATTCTGTGTCAAGTAATTGAAACCTCAAATGACAGCAAGTAGCTGAGAATGGAAAAAAATAAAAAACAACAGATCTCTTAACAATTGCTTCTGAAGTAAAAACATACAAACTGTCATGAACCAATTTAACATTTTGGAAATATTTGTTCTTTAATTTAATTGACATTTTACTTTTTCAATCTATTTGAGAGTGTACTGCCCAAATCACACGGTTATTTTTTGTGTTCTGGTATATCTAACAAGCACACCAATTGATATTTTAATTCTTTTACCTAGACATCTACTGTTTCTATGTCTCTACTTAATGGCTTGTTAAACCTTATAGACTTGGTACACTGTAGTTGATCACTCACGTTAGCAGCTCTAAATCTAGATAAGTATGTATTTAAATACTTGTAGTTTGAATGAATAAAATATGTAGTATCTGAATTTGGGGGAAAAATTGTAAACAGACTTAAAATACTGTCTGTATATTATAGATTTCAAGATAACTGCTACGTAATCTAAGAAATAATCTGAACAAATTATTTTACAATTACGTAACAGAGCAAGACAAACTATGACAACTGTCTTTCACCATTTCAGATTGAACATTCAAAGATCTAACACCTTTTCTTTGAATTAAGGTAGTAGACTCAACACCTCTAAAGGTCTGCTATATATAATAGAATGAGCGTTTGTACAAATACAAGAAAACTGGTTTTTGCTGGTCATTCTCCATGAGACACTAAAAGATGATATAAATTGTGTTGTTTCAATCACAAGAGCCTGATAACCAAGTTGTATCAAGAATGCCCTTGAAATTAAGAATGCCAATAGCTTTTTATCTTAAAAAAAATGAATAGTTAGATGGGCATTTTTCAGAATGTCAGCAGACAGCACAGGCAGTGTGGGAACACTGCCTTGGACGCTGTCTGCTGTATGTCTGACCTGCAAAGAGACAACTGTCATTCCAGCACGCCTCAAACACGGGATTTGCCTTTATAAAACTCCTCATTTTGAGGAGGGAAGTTCAACTGTAGAAACTGCTCCGAGGCCCGGGAACACTAAACAGAGCTTCTGTGTGTGCTTCGGGACTAAGCTGTTATCACACTTAGGATAATTCAAGAAAATTAGAACCTTATGAGCAAGACTGAATAATATTTTTGTTTCACCTTCTACGATTGTTGGTCTTTCTGAGTATTTCTTTAGGCTGTGCTGTATCTGAGAACCGTGACCCTTCTCCTGACCCAGTAACATACCATTACCTTAAATAATAGAATAATAAATCCCACCATCAGCACCATACAGAGGGGCCCCTATTTTTGGTACCATGAATTTGTTCACCACATTACAGCGTATTTTAACAAGAACAAGTTTGCATTTGCAGCAACATATGTTTGCAGCTGTGATACTGCTGATCAGCTCTAGCACTGACCAAAGAGGATATGTTAATGTTTTGCTCAATTATACTAAAGGCAGCAGCACTTCTGTCCATTGCACTTTTTCCTCCCCCTCCCTTTTTAAAAAAGGATTGACTCCTAATTGCACTTCATACTGAAAGGTGAGCCTTTTCAGTAACTTCACTTTTGACAGAATTAATGGCAATTAAAAAAAGTGTAAGAAGGTAATGGAAGAATCTATTCTATAAAAGGATACAAACAAGAATGAGAATAAATTTTTAACACTTTTTTTTAAAAGAAAATGCATCTCTTTACACGAAGAGTAGGTGGAGACCTATTTTTCAAAGGCACAGACTCCTCTTAGATATGCCATGCCATTACCTCAAACTGGAGGCAGCTGTTAGAACTTCCTCCCAGTAAGTGTCACTGCTGACAATTCCCCCACCCTGTTTGTCACTCAGCTCACAGCCTGAGCATCACTGCTCATCTTCTGTGTCCTCTTAGGAAACGATGTTTAAACCTTACAACGTACCATCTCACAGCACCTCTTAAAAAGCATGATTTCCTATACTCTACAGATGAATGCACTCATCTCAATAGCTAATCCCTTCAGATAACTGCAAAGATCATCCGTGTCAGCTATCCATCCCTCTGATCAGCTCGCCCCTCGCCACCCCCCTCTTCGAGCCCCTTCTCAGCCATTTCAAGCAGAAACCGCTTCTCTACGTTTTCAAGGCCCTGCAAAGCCTTATGGCACTGAACATACCACACTTCATGTGGTACATTCAGATTGACAACAGCCTCCGGGCACAAAGCAGTCAACAAAAATACCTTTTCCCCTCCCTAACCCATGATATCAGCCAGTGTCCAGTTACTAGAATTTTCTATGAATATTAGCAAATCTACTTTAAATCATCCTTCAGACTATCCTTCACCATAATGTCTACAAAAAGTTATCAGGCAAGGCTGTGTGACTTCCCGAGGCTATTCCCCAGCCTAATGACTGGCAATCCTCTCCTGGATCAATATCCATCTCCCGTAGCTCGCTTTCTACACAAAATTAGAGGCTTTTTTGAGCTGGGACTACTATCTTCTGGTTCTAAGTTACACAGCAACAAATACAGTCATGTTTGGCTCACCATGGTTTCAAAACCAAACTGACAACAAAAATAAGCACAGAAAACATTCCCCACAACTGACTGCAGACAACAGCAAGCAAGGGAGCTACAGTAAGGAAAATTAAAGCAATTCAGGTAATGCTGCTAAGTTTTTGGACACAACTTCTATTAGACTACAAAGAAATTCTTTTTGAAGAGGAAAATGGCCAGAGAATACCCTACATTTAACTGCCTTAGAGAGAGCACCAGCAAAAAACCACTTCTGATGCACATGTCAGAAGCTACTTCTCTGCAAGAAGTAATATCTTGGTTTGTAGCAGGGTGTGTTGCCCTGGATATCTTTTGATGTATCTGCTTATTACCTAAGATGTACTCAATAGCATACATCAGCAGGGAGCTACACCCAAAAAAAAAAAAATCAGCTGCCAAAAACAGCTAGAGAGGAGAGAAAAATAATTTTTGCCCTTTTTGTTTTTGTATGCCGGATAATGACAGCCTGAATGTAAGACAAAAAACTGGTTATTTTGTATAATGATAATAATACAATATTTCCAGGGGATTGTACATTTTTGTTTGGCATTATAGAAACCTTCAAAAACACTAAGACGGAAACCTCAAATAATCAATAAAAGGTTTCAAGTTCCACATAAGTCTGTAATTTTTATTTTTTTTTTTGGAGGTAGGTTGGGGCTGGGGAGACAGCCTTGGTTGATGCCTCTAAGGAGGAAGGCAGACTAGGATTTGGTATGTTTTCAAGCTCTTGGATGAGTTATAATTAGATTTTAATTAAAAATCATAATTAATGGTTATTCTGACACCTTTTCCAGATATTTATTTTTAGTTGCAAGAAGTAGTTGTATTAAGACATGGCAATAGCTTAAATGTTCAGCTGTGAGGAGAACCAGACTAATACATTGACCAACAGATGCTTGATCCTTTTAATTGCTTTTTTTTAAAACCTACTTTAAAATCTTCAAATTAAG